TTCTTGCTATATTTTTTAAAGTAAATTTTTTTAGAGTAATTTAAACCGTCAAGTTTAAATCGCTAAGAACAATCAATTTTCCTTACGCAGATTCTGAGAAAAAAGTTTTCTCACGCGCTCTTCTACAAATTTGGAAATATGAAAATGTATAATGTAACATACATAGTGAAAAGCACTTTCGGAAAGCATCTTCTAAGATCAGTCACATATTTTTTTATGATTTATTCTCTCTTCTATAAAACTGTCATTGATAATAACAGTGATGCAGTGTCATTTTTTTGGAGCAATGACGAGTTGTACAAATTATTACACTGAATATGGACTACCTTGAGAATAATTCTTCTTTCTTCGAGACGATTATATTCGAATATTATACGAGTACTTCCTTCGAACGGAGGACGAGATCCTCCTCCTAGAGGACGCACAAATTGCCAAGGATTCTGCTCGTACCGGCGCCATTTCTTCTTTCCATCTCGCCACGCGAAAAAGGAGAAAACGAGCTGTAGCGGGAAGGACGACTAAAGCGCTACTAAAAGTCGACCGGTTGGTAAGAAGCAAAGGGTAAGAAGAAGAAGAAGAAGAAGAAGATGATGAAGAAGAAGAAGAGGAAGAAGGGAGAGAAGAAAAGAGGGAGGAGGAAGACGAGAAGAATCTCTCAGGGAGCAAGACGATCGTAAAGGAAAGAACGACAGAGACAAAGAGGTGAATGTTAATGAGGCAGATCTCGACCTTTTGCATCGCGCGAAGATCTCGTCGGGACTCGCGGCCGAAACTCCGATCTTTGCTTCGTCAGTTCGGCTCGTAAGACATAAACGTCAAATAAATTAACGTGGCAACATATAAAACAAAACGGTAACAGGTAAAATAAATTTAATATTTTTTTTATAAATCACGCTAAACGTAACAAAGAAATTGCACAGACATTTTATTTTATAAAAGTTTCCATTTTTTTTTTTTTATTGCAAATTGAGAAAATTGAAAATTATTTTTCAATTGTCATTGAATTCTTTCTGAAAGTTGAAAATATTTTGAGAAAAATTATAAATCATAATTGTTTGAGCATGTAGAGCATAACATCGCGAATCTTGGAAATACGTTATTCTCCAGAAACAACCTCTAAGAAACGTTCTTAATCTTTTAGAATGACGGCGTGTCACACGTATCTATTTGTATCTAAAATATCATCGTTGCCCACGCAGAGTAATAAAATAATTTAGCAGTGTTAAGCAGTTTTTAAATCTCGCGAAAAAGGATATTGTATTTCCTTTTCTTCTTCGGACTCTATTCTCTTGCTCATCTCTTGCGATCCGGTTCTTTGTTGCGCGACGGACGAGACCTGCGGACGAGATTGATCGCACGGTGGTAGGCTTAACGAGGCACGACGGACCTCAAAATCTGCCCGATAATTAATGAGAATCGTCTGTCCGACCATTGGAGCGACGTAACAACATCGAAATGCAACGACGAGATATGCAACCAGCAAGTATCTTCAACCTGGAAGCGCATCCTCCGTTCGTTCTCGAAGAATACTTGTCTTTTCATTACACGAAACAATCGATCGAAAGTCAACATCAAGAAGATTGTTCGAGTGCAAGAAGTTTCTTAGAGAGAGACTCGTTTTGTCAAATCGGTAATTCTTATTAAATCAGACAGAAAAGGAAAATTTCAACAAAACATATTTTTCCTTTTCTTGCGTCTTTATTTTTATTTGCTAAATTTATTATTATCTACTTTTTATATCAAGGTGTTCTTTCTTTTTTTCATTTCATTATGTTTGAGCTTTTAAATGCCTGTTTGCAGTCCTTTTAAAACTGACCGGATACCGTTAGATAATTTGTATGCTGTTGACACAAAGAGAAACCTACCATTAAAATTTTATGCGGATGTTGGCCATATGTACGCGAGCCACGTAACTATACGTGAAATTTCGAATGATATCTGAATCTAAAAATGTAATGCTGAGAGTTTGTTCTTTCCGCTTACAAACACGAATATGAATACTGATAGAATCTTTCTGTATTTGTATGTGCTTTTCTCGAAAGAACCTTTGACTGGAATATATATCTTCCCATATTTCTCGAAATATATATGTATTTATACATACGTATGCCACGTGTGTTTACGCTAAAGTTACGTAAACGTAATTCTCAAATTAGATTTAAAATTTAAAAGAAGAATGAACGAATAAAAAATACCAGAAAAATACTAGACAATATATATAAATTATAATACATAATAATTAGAGTATATTGGAGAGAAATGTTGGATCTTTTTGCCAAGTGTATTTTCTCACGGCACAACACACATATTTGTTATTGTCTCGTATAGATATTGCGAAAATGCAAAGTTGACGGATTTTTAGCGCGATGCAAAAGACGCGCATCCTTTACGCACGTGTTCTCGTTTAAATGCGACACGCTGCAACATTTGTACGAAGTAGGCCATGCTAAAGTGGTCCAACCTGTATAATCATTGGCGTATTAACGTCGTGAAAAATCAAGGCCATCGTTGACAGCCTTATAGCCACTGCTTTTATGCCGATGTGCTCGTTAAAAACGTTTACAACTCATCCTGATCAAAAATAGTAAAACTAAACTAAAATAAAATAAAAAGCTACATATTAAATTAAAAATTAAATTCGATTAGGATCCAATTTAAAGCATAGTCTAAATTATAATAAAATCAAGATTAATTAAAAAAAAGTTTTTTATTTTAAGAAAATTATAAAAGGGGGAGGGGGGGGGCGAAATATCCTTAGCTATTAAATCTCTATAAAAATATATTTCTGTTTCAATATATTTTTCTAAATAAATATATATACACATATATTTTATTTTGTTAAAGACGTTCTCAATTACGGATTGACGTGTAATATTATATATTTATCTTGGGGAGACACAATGACAAAATCATCCCCAGGAATATATATGTGATAATTAACGGTGCTCGTCTAAAGGGAACCCTCGGACATTCACCTCTCTCTCGTAGCGAGAGAACTGGCTTCCGGTCCTCGTGGAAGAGGCTAACGAACGCTAAACCGTATCCGACGTGCAAGTCCTAGTGTCTCTTTACCGCTATAAAGACAGTCCACACGCGCTGCTCACTTCCGCCGTTCTCGTGCATGATACCATGTGTATCATAAAGGAAATATGACACAGAAACGGATCTTTTCAAGCGACCCCGGAATTGTTTTAATTCTTCTCAGTTCTTGTATTCATTTGATGCTTAATTTAGAATGTAATTCGATTTGATTCGATTTATACTTAAATTTGTTTTTATATTTAAATTTTTACATAATTTAATTTTAACTTTTAATTTTTTTTTCTCTCGTAACTTTAATTTAAAACAATTTAGATTTTGTGTTATTTATGAAAATACTCTTGTGAAGCACGTATTACTAATCCAAATTTTTTAATTTAGGGGATGGTATCGTTTAATCTGGAATGATGGCAATCAGTCACGACGCATTGCGCTGGTCAGGAGTCGATTGTCTCTGGGATTCGAAAGAGGGAGAGAGGGACATGGAAGAGAAGAAAAGAAAGAAAAAAAAGAAAGATCGTAGCGTCCTTGCCCGCAGCTTTGAACTGGTTATGTCAAACAACCAACCGGTGTATATATGTGCATATGATACGTGTTATTCTACTCGTTTTCAAGTTTCTTTTTAAAATGTGGACTTTGCAGAATTTCTCATTCCCTTCTCTCTCCTTCTTATCGATTGTTTTAATCAGTCAGTTTCGAGTTTAGTGCGCGATTTCCTATCTCGGAATGACAAAGAAAATCAACGGTGAAAATAATTCGTCGTAATTTAATGAATTCATCCGAAGTTCCTATCTTCTTTTCGCAAGTCGATTAAAACATAGAAACCGGTCTCTGTGAATGCTGTGATTTTATTAAGTCCCCAACAGAATACGCTAATGTACTTAATTAGACGTTATAAACTTTGAACCTGCATTTGCATAAGCTACCGACTACCTGAGCTTAATCGCCGATTAATCTGTTATCTATACGCGACAAATAGGATAAAGCAAGAGAAGAGACATGTGGGGAAAAGAGTAGAAGCAAAGAAGAACATACTAAATTCGCGATATTTTATCGTGTTTCACGTAATTAACGATATTAATTAACGACCGTATTCTCACGCTCTTTTCAAATACAATTATACTTCACGAATAATCTATAACTTTTTTAACATTATCAATAATTATATTAATTTAAAGATTGAAAGATACATAAATCTCTCAATAAAATATACCTGGCGAGAGATGCTTTCTGCATCTTTTGATTTAAATTGCAATTTGTACATAATTTATTATCGTTTGTTAAACTTTATTTAAAATTTAAGTTAAATCTTAATTTAAAGATTAAAAATGAAATTTAGTCTTATTATCGTACATACGCGTGTTATTTGAAAGTTAAAAAATGCCTAATATTATTTAACATGTCTATCTATTCGAGATCTGTTGAGGTACGATTAAAATGATAAGTCCGCGGATTATAGCGTGAAATCCACTGGCATCCGAGACCACCGGTTGAAGGTAGATCATCTGTCGTTACCTATTAGTCAAGGAGATTTCATAATTATTAGCTGCTGGGGCCCATTAACGTTAAGGAACAACGTCCCATCCGACCCGCGTCATCGCCTAGAGCCAATCAGAACGGCTGTCCCCTTATATCCTCCGTATGTCCGAGGATTATTTTAGTGGGTCTAATGAGTTTTGATAGCCGGCTGTGAATCTGCGTAATCGCGGGTCCCGCGAGCGTGTCCGATCGTTCCCGTTTCGTATGCGTTAATCCTACGACGTAGATGCAATTACGCGTTTTCATCGTGCCAAGTAAAAACGATGCGATTCGGATTAAATCGAGCGTCACGAATGTTACGAAAAAAAAAGCTGAATTTAACTCTCTTTAATTAACGAGTTCTATATGTTTTATATCTGAAAAATGTGGACGATAATTATTTTACAAGAATAGCACTTTTGTTTACGTAAAAGTAAATTAATTAGCCAAAGAATTATAAGAAAATATCATAAGTATGAATATTTTACTTTATTGAAAAGAACAGTCATCCGTTTAAATTTTAATGCAGACGATTGCGTATTATTATAATAGTAGTACAAAAGTGTATATATTTCGTAAATTGTGATTTGTTCTGTTGCAGGAACAGGTTTTTTTCACAAACTGAAAAATGTTCGCCAGATTTTGCAGACAAGTTCCGGATGGTAAGTATTTCTACATACATGTACATATATACAATCCTTTAGTCTACTATAATTGTTTTAGATACTTTATGAATTGTATTCACGATCTAGGCTATATTCCATACATAAATGATGAATGACGACAAATTAAATATCGATACAAAAGTATAATAACAATATTTTAATTGATAAAATGTCCAGTAACGATTGATAATGTAAACAAGGAAGTGATCACCATATTGATTATCTCTCAGAGGGTTCCCGAGAGAGATCTCTGAGAGTTGTAAGTTCGCGTGCCGAGGTCGCGGTCCGACGAAAAGACGTGGGAACGGGAACGTCCTCCTTCGTGCTTTAAAGCCGCGAATTAACTCCTTTTTGTTTCTCGTTGCGGCCGGCGTGGATTTTCGACATCGAAATTGCCCAGCCACCACCGACACATCGAGGATTACGACTTCTCGTAACAAGACGTTTTCGGTTATTCAGCTCGGATAAAAAGTCGTGAGAACTGCTAAAAAAAAAAGTTCCTCTGTTCGGTATTACGAACGTTCCGTCATTTTGAAAAAATCGGCAGGCAAATTATCGGTTTCTTTACTACAGCTAACAAATATTTGCGAGACGCACGTATGTATATGTAAACCACGTATTTATTAAATATTTTACAAGATTTACATATGAAAAATGTTTTATTTCTTTCATAGATACAAAAGTGCAAAGTATACAAATAATTACTATTGATTATTTATAATTACTATTGACACTTACATTTGATATAAATATCGATATTTTGAAATCGAACAACACTGATGATGTTGGAATTAAAACATGAAATTTGATTTGGAAGTACAGTTAAAGTACAGCTGTCATTGAGACAGCAGGACGATAACAGTAAAAAAAAAGAGAAAATTTTATTAAGCCGTCTTAATTAACAAGCTATCACCCGAAGCGACTCTTAATCGACGCCGTTAGACACGTCCATGGAATTCTAACGATTGAACAATTCCGCGATTGAAAATTAATGTCCTAATTAATAGCTTTATCGTGGTAATTTATATGGCTATTTATTTAGAAAATTATGACACAATCCATGCAGAACGTTATACATGGACGACAACGTGTTTCTGTATGCTTACGAACGAACAATTACAATCTCATCTGGAGAAATACGTTAATTGCATGATTATGATCATGGAAATTTTTAAATTCCTAAGATTTCTTGAAATTATAATTTTGAATGTCTTTCCTCGTGGCAGTGAAAAATTTCACTGATTAATCATGTAATTGTCATTTTTTTGCTGGACAAACGATCTATTTGGAGAAGCTAAATAAGATGAAAGATAAAAATATTACTTTTGTTTATTTGTTATATAGATTTTATAATAGAAATGATAATGTACTATAAGTACTTATTTTTAATTTAAATTAGCTTAACTTTTTAGGAAATTTTGGTTTAAAATGTTCAGGGGTCAACTATTTGACGGGTCGTTTCTCGTGGAGCATAAAAATCATTTCTTCGAATCCTTTGTTTTCCGCTAACCCGCCGTCACAGAGAGAAGATAAGAAAAGAAGAAGGTTTGACCTCGAGGCGAGCCGAATGGGAAGCATAGCGCCGACTCTCTTAAAGACGTCGGCGCCGCTTAATTAGCATGCTAATTAGTTGTGCGAATCTCGTGACGCGGACGAGAATATGTACCTCGTTCAGGGTGCATTCTCAGGCAGGATTTGATCGGTGATCGATTCTCGCGGCATGACTGTCATTAATTATTTTATCTGAAATTAACGGTCGCTTGTCAATTAGTCATGCTCTAATAATTAATTAGATGATTATAGTTACGCTGAAAAAATATATTTACATTAATTTTCATTTAAAACAATGTTTAAAAGGGAGGAGAAAAGGGAAGAGCTAAAATCTCAGATCTCTTATGAATTTTCTTAGCTTTGCGACGCTCGTGACTAACTAAAATTTTCTTTCTATCGCTGTTTGTATCACCGGCCCGGAATTAACTTCCTCATACCGAAGCGCTTTATGGAATTTCTTAAGAATTTAATCGGCTACCAGCGTCGTGCGGTATTACGGAGAAGAGATACGGGGAAGCCAGTAGATTTCTAATCTCGAGCGCGTTGAGCGATTGAAGGTGAGATAGAAACGTCGGTGTTAGGTAATAGTATATCAAAACCGAGTATATCAAAACACGGCATCGGTCGTTAAAATGCGCGATTGAGTTAGGTGTTCTTGCGCTTAACAACGCCAGGTCATGCTCATTAACGCGTTGTTCTCGCGAGCGTCCCAAGTGCAATCTCGACAGAAATCTCCGGATAAGCAGTATGCTTTATGATATCATCTTCATTTTTTTCATTTCTCTGCTCGTTGAAAACGTTTTAGAACAAAGTAATCACGCTGCAGCTTGAACATTAATGATATCGGGATATATTACGAGCATTTGCGGATATTGGCGAAAAGACAAGATCGTGGAAGAACGCCATGGGACGTCCTCGCGCTGCAGCCGCCTCGAGACGAAGAGCATTGTCCGCGCAGCGGGATGGCGATGTTTAAGCGAGGCTCCTCGCCCGGGGCGAGATGTGCCTCAAATTGATTTGTTGTAAGCGATACACCACCCCTACGGGGCGAGCGAATGGCACAATAATTGGCTACATAAACAATGACCGGCGAAACGATCTCTCACCGTCCGGTCTCTTAAACGCCGTTATCTCGCGACAATGTGAGACACCGTCGCTCGTGTGAACACATCAGCGGAGCGTGAACTTGAAATGAAATATCGCTGCGGTTGTCATTTATGTCACGAATTGTTCAACGAGTGGACAATTGAACAAAATATTATTTTTAAATTACACATACATACATACGTACATATATTTATGCGATGTGGCATAAGAATATTGTACAGATTTGTGTCAGGTGCAGAACTCGATTGATCGATGGAATTTGATTTACGAAAGACCATAAGGAGGACGCGCGTAGAGTACCGAAATTTTTCAAGCCGGTCAAGAGATTGCACTTTTGCGAGGGATCGGGTCAGATTGGCTGAAAAGTAATTGCGAGATCCGAGATATCGTCAGCCAGCCGCTGTGCAATTTGGGCCTACACCTGGCCTACCCACTGCTCCTTGTTTTCGTCGGATTTTCACACACAGATCGAAATTTATCTTGAATATTCGAAGCAAACAGGAGTAAGGATACATATATATATATATATATCCTTCGAAAAAGGATCCGAGTATGGTATTAATGTATCGATTCCGGGTTTGTAAGAAGTAAGAAAAGGAAATTTTTAAAAGAGAAGTGGAAGAGGCCACCGAACGCGCGGGGTATATCGAGTTCATGCCGTTGAAGCGAACCACAATGAACATGTATCAAATTTATGGCGCGCGGTTGTGTGGTACCATGCGGTTCTCCGCCCACTCACACTCGCGTGCACGCTCGTGATTTATACCTCTCGTAAAGCAGACGGTACGCGAGCCGAGAATCTCGAGGGAAAAGAAAAATTATTCTCCATTTTTCTCGCCATGCGTTTCAATCTGGTCTGGAATTTAAAAAAAAAAAAAAAACAAAAAAAACTTGCAAGAAATTTCTCGTTTTCTTGACTTGGGATTAAAAGAGCTGTTTCGAGAGCGACAAAGAGTCATCAGAGAGTAAATTGATGTCACCGCGATAATAACATTCATCTAGCGATTTCATCTCCTATTATTATAGACGCACACGCGCTTCTCTTCCATTTTCACTGACGTTAATCGCATAATCCGTTATACAGAGATAATATCTGCTTTCTGAAGTTCCAGATAATTCTACATACATATGCATGATGTTTATTCGTACATCTGTTATATTTATTATATCATTCCGATTCTATTAAATCTATACTTCATCGTTTTTGCACGACACTATATCGTATATTTTACAGATTATATAAAATTTATCATTATACAGGAAATTAATTCTCTGGAATCTGATTGAAGATTAAAAACTAATTATCGATTAATTAATAATTTAAAATTTTTAGCATAAATTAGTTTCAGAAAGTTATACAAACAAGTATTAATAATTAATATTAATAACAAGTATTAATAACTAAGATACACACATAAACAATATCAGTGTGGAAAATAATTATTTTCTCGTCACTTTTCATAGCATATATTTAAAGTAATGTTTAAAAATACTTTTATATCTAATATTTTAACATCTAAAAATATAATTTTATTCATGATACTATCTTTGTTGTAAGACAAATCTATATTTAAATCAATTTTATTCAATCGAGCCAATGAATATAGCCCTAAATTGTTATAACAACAAATGGAGGGAGGGAAAAGGCCATAATTATAATGCGCAATAATTCGACATCATTGGAGGATTAAATGACAGCTCGTTCATCTAAATAGATGATTAAGCCAGTCGAGCTACACGCAGGACGTCTAATCGTGCGGAAAATCCTGCCTGATGTGCGATCCCTAATATGTCTTTCAGCGATGATCGCGATAAGCCTGTTTATAACGGCTATGCGACAGTACTCATCGTGGCCTTATCTCAGTTATCATAAATCCATGGTAAGCGATCATTACGTTCTCCTGTCGACTGGTCGACCGGCATTCCTCGTTCTTTTACTATAGCGACTCCGTAATCCGGCAACGCAAGTTCGAGATATTAACAAAAGCAACGGTAACATTGTGGCCGTCATGAACTCATGAATAATTTATCGGCCATCATTCGCTGACATAAGTCGACATATATATATCGTCGCCGTATGCGGTCGTTACTTCCGGCTTTGGGGGGGTCGGAGAGAAATGGAAGAGAATATACATTTTTGTATATTCTCCAACAGTAGCCATAATCAATTAGACAAACTAGGAAGCTCCGCAATATATATATATGTGTGTGTGTGTGTGTGTGTGTGTGTGTGTGTGTGTGTGTGTGTGTGTGTGTGTGTGTGTGTGTGTGTGTGTGTATGCGTGCATACGTGTTATTCTCTTAGCAATTTTTCACAGGATCTTAGGATAGTTACTGTA